TTTTTTCCTGGTAGTCAGGAGGATATATATATATATATATATATATATATATATATAGTGTTTTTGTCCTGTTTTTGAGTAAAAAATATCTAAACGTCCTTAAAACAAACCAAATTTTCTAAATGTTGATTTATTTCAATTAGAATTAGTTTTGTTTGTTTCATAAGGACAGTGCCTTCTTGAGTTTTTCTGCTGTGAAAGGGGCAAAAAAATTCGATAAAACAAAACAAAACACGTCAAACCTCATCTTCATGGAAATCCATGCAGTCCCAGTGGTGAGCGAGAGTGGCATTCTTGCGTTTCCAGTATTCCAAGAACGTGACGGCCCACAAAGACATGAACACACTGAAGAAGACAGTGCCGGGATGATCAAACAGATAGCCCACCTAAAGGAGAGTTGAGATTAACCATCACCTGTTTTTATATTACTATTGACCATGCTACATTTTAAAAAATTATATGACATAAAACAACTTCATTGCCGTTCAAAGGTTTGGGATCAGTAAGATTTGTTAGAAAATGTTTTTTAATGGAGCCTCTTATACTCATCAAGGCTGTATTTGTTTGATAAAAAATACAGAAAAACAGTAATATTGTGAAATATTATTGCAATTCTAATATTGGTTTCCTATTTTAATATACTTTAAAATATAACTTATTTCTGTGACGCAGCGCTGTTTTCATCAGCCATTACTCCAGTCTTCAGTGTCACATGATCCTTCAGAAGTCATTCTAATGTGCTGATTTATTATCACTGTTGAAACTGTTGTGCTGCTTAATATTTTTGCAGCCTGTGATACTTTTTTCTTTGATTGTTTGATGAATAAAAAGTTAAAAAAAAAAAAAAACAGCATTTATTCAAAATAGAAATCTTTTCTAACAATATAAGTCTTTACTAGAACTTTATCTATTTAACACATCCTTGCTGAATAAAAGTATTAATTTCTTTATAAAAAAAAAGAAAGAAAAAAATAACTGACCCCAAACTTTTTAATAGTAGTGTATTTTGTAACACAAAATTTCTTTTTTAAATAAACACTGTTCTTTTTAACTTTTTATTTACCAAAGAATCCTGAAAAAAATATCACAGGTCCCAAAAAATATTCAGCACAACTGTTTCCAACACTGACTATAAATCAGCTTATTAGAATGATTTCTGAAGGATCATGTGACACTGAAGACTGGAGTAATGGCTGCTTTTTTTTCTGTATTTTGATTGTTTGATGAATAAAAAGTTAAAAAAAAAAAAAAACAGCATTTATTCAAAATAGAAATCTTTTCTAACAATATAAGTCTTTACTAGAACTTTATCTATTTAACACATCCTTGCTGAATAAAAGTATTAATTTCTTTATAAAAAAAAAGAAAGAAAAAAATAACTGACCCCAAACTTTTTAATAGTAGTGTATTTTGTAACACAAAATTTCTTTTTTAAATAAACACTGTTCTTTTTAACTTTTTATTTACCAAAGAATCCTGAAAAAAATATCACAGGTCCCAAAAAATATTCAGCACAACTGTTTCCAACACTGACTATAAATCAGCTTATTAGAATGATTTCTGAAGGATCATGTGACACTGAAGACTGGAGTAATGGCTGCTTTTTTTTCTGTATTTTTGATCAAATAAATGCAGCCTTGATGAGCATAAGAAACTTCTTGAAAAAACATAAAAATTCTTACTGATCCCAAAATTTTAAACACCAATGCATATTTTCCATAGTCAGTATGTACTCCATACACATAATTATAAACTACTGTATACAAGCATATCAAATTCTACAATATTGTGTCTTTCACATATAGACAATACTCAACTCAACTGATTACCTTGGCCATGGGACAGATGTCTGATATATTCCAGGGTTTACAGGTTTCACACAGAGGACACATTAGATAAAATCCTCCACTCTCGCAGATTTCCTTCCTGTAGATGGCAAATGGAAACAGGCAACAATGGTACAACTAAAATGAAAGCAAACATACAGCCTGTGTTTTTGAAGTACATTGTCTTGGTGAAATTGTGTTGATAAAACAAAAGAAAATATTAGAAATCTGGTAGGAATGTAGTAAGAGTGTGGTTACTAGAAGCAATAGTATAGTTTTATGTTAAGATCAATAGACCAAGGAGGCAAAGTGTACAAATGAATGCTTCAAGGATATAGATACACATACAGTGCTTCTAATTTTGTATTGCTTTACGGTCTCCTGCTCTCTGATTCTCATTAATTTGCTTGCTTATTCTGAGGTGTAAACTGCAGCAAATATTTCCAACTCATCGCTATTAGTCCTTCAAGTACATGCGGTCAACAGTTGCTATAGTAACAAATAAAGGTCATAAAGCCCATTGATATCACATTATTTCTGATAGCAGCGAAATAGCTTAGAGGAGCACTAAATGTGTGAGTCATGTAGAGCAGAAAGAAATTCAGTGCAGCAGCTGAAACACTGTGTTAATCGATAATATGGGAAACACTTACGCTGGGGTATTGGATCCCATTGTTAAAATACCCGAAACAAAGACGCACGTCCCAACCAATGCAGCAGGCAAAAGCCAGGCTGTGTAAAATCCTGTAAACAGTAGATTTTGGTCATTATTGGTTATTATAATTGGTAATATATTGACAGTACTTGTTTTTGTGGTTTGTGACACTAGCAATGCCTAGGCAATGGGTTTCAAAACATATATCATATAATTTTATTTAATTTAATAACAAATATATGACTATATTACTAACAAACATATAAAAATAATAATATATAAAAAAATATGAATGTATAAAAAATATGTCTGTAATATGCATTACACATACACAAATATGAATAGGATCTATGGTGCCTACTCACCCAACCATGCAAAATAAAGCGCAATCTTCTCTCCAAAGTATTCATGGATGTGATCTAGAGGCTGGTACTTGTACCATTTTAACCAGTTGGACCAATAGTGGTACAGTACCTGCCTCTTGTTCAACTGATCGGGCTGCATGTCACAACCTGGGAGCTCAAATGGGCCCTTTAAAAAAGAAAAAAGCTGACAGATTATGAAGTTGTACTTTTACTAAGACATACATGTTTTAAGTGCATTGCTGTACTTCTAATAAGACACGTTTGAGGCACATTGCAGTATATGGTGTCTTGTGCCTAACCTCATGCAGAGGGAATGCACCCGTAAAAGCCCCCTCATTCAGAAGACGAGCGACTCCAACTTCTGCACGCTTCCTCCTGCCATACACAGTCCTTGCTAAGATTTCATACACCTGCGATGAGAACAGGTGTAAGCAATTATCATACACTTATTCCATCATATACACTACCATTCAAACTTTTAAGTCAGTAAGATTTTTAAGAAATCAACACATTTATACGTCAAAGATACATTAAATTTATCAAAAGTCACAATAAAGACATTTACATTGTTACAAAAATATTTATTTTAAATAAAAGCTGCACATTCTATTCATCAAAGAATTCTGAAAAATATGCATCAAGGTTTCCTCAAAAATATTTAAGTGCAACACTGATATAAGAAGAAGAAATGTTACTTGAGCATCAAATCAGCATATTAGAATGATTTCTAAAGGATCATGACACTGAAGACTGAAGTAATGGCTGCTGAAAATTCAGCTTTGCCATCACATGAATATATTAAATTAAAAATATATATATAAAAAAAGAAAAACGTTATTTTGATCAAATGCATGCAGCCTTGTTGAGCAAAAGAGACTTATTTAAAAAAAAAAAAAATCTTACTGACCCCAAACTTTTGAACGTTAGTGTATGTAATCATTTATTACACTATTGCAACTATGTGATACCCAATTCTGCTTTTCTCGTGGCTGTTTACAGCACACTCACAATGCGGTGTCTCTGTGTGTTGGTGAAGTAGTTTTCACGGTCATCAGAGCCCAGAAACCTGAAAGTCAAAGTAAATAGCTATATTTACACATCTGTTTCTGCAAGTAGATAATCACCTTGTACACTCCTAGAAAAAAAAAGCCTAACTTTTCCATTTTGGACTTGCGGAAGGCACATGTGTAGTAGTCCACAGGACGGTTGGGGACTGAGTCTTTCATGATGTTCGGCACCCAGACCTTCTGAAGAACTCGAGCAGAAGTGTTGAAGTCTGGGTGTGGCTGTGCCTTTCAATAAACATATACAACTCATTTCAGAGCTCAATTCACTTGATTCTAGTGTTATTTTAAACCCTCGGTTTTTAAGTTGGGGAGGTGAATACGAAACCTGCAGAGGTGCTCTAAGACATAACTCCTCAGCGTAGTAAACCAATACATCCCATGGAGCATGGAGCTTCAGATAGTGTATAGTCTTTTTTACACTGGATGATTCCTCCTGATAATAAAGAGAAAACCATTAGAAACAACACGGTAAGTACCATAAAAGGCATTGATTGCACTGATTGAAAATTAACCTAATAGCTTAACCTTTTCCATCAACAGTCCAGCACTCTGGAGGTTCTGGATGAATTTGTCCCTCCATCGGGCCAGCTGAGCTTTTCTTCTCTCTGACCTGCTCTCCTCCTGTGCTGCTTCTACTGCCTCCTCTGCAGCCTCCCCTTGCGACTGTCCCCGACTTCGACGCTTGCGACGCACCTTCACCTCCCACACCAGCACAAAGTCTGGGGCAAGAACGAATAGGCTTAATATGACTACTTGGGCAGCAATGCGGTTGGCATATTAATATCGTTTTCATCAAACCATTACCAATTTTTGTTTGGCCGTCTCTGAGGTAGTTGCCTGAGGGGTGAACAGGTGGGCTTGAGGTCCGCTCACAATGAACATATATGGGGTCATCATCCTCATCATTAGCCGCAGTATTCAACTGTTATGACAACATGAATATATTTAAGCAACACAGAACAAAGGAGCTGTTGTTCTATTATTTTTTCTGTGTTAATAAATAGTATTAAGCGCAAAATCGGAGCTAAAATCATCTAGCGCGTGGGCCACATAACTGCGAATAGCGCTTCCCTCAGACCGCGTCTTTGAAAAGTCACACATACAGTTGCGATCCAATTTAAGGCTTTTGTTGGCAAACTACCTTACAGGAATAGTTCTAACAAAATTTCTGAAAATGTACTCCCCCTCAGACCATCCAAGATGCAGACGAGTTATTTGTTCATCGAAACAGATTTTGAGAAACTAAGCATTCACTGCTCACCAATGGATCCTCTGCAGTGATGGGTGCCGTCAGAATGAGAGTTCATACAGCTGAGCTGATAAAAACCGAACAATAACACACAAGTAATTCGCGTGACACTGGTCCATAAACTATGCATGTGCTGCATGTTTGTAAGAAACAAATCCATAATTTTAACTTTTTGCTTCTGGCCAATGTAGTCCATAAGTCATAACTCTTCCACCAGTGTAAAAGTCCACCCCCTGTTGTCCGGTCACATCAAACTCCAACCAATATATTTGTTTAAAATTGTTCAGAACAGTTTTCACTTGTAAATAGTGCTTGATCTGTGCATATTTGTCTACTAATTCAGATGAGATGACTTCTTCACTGGAGAAAGCAATATTTTAACTGGAAATAACTGTTTGAAGTTAAAAACATCTTAAAGATGAATTTATTACAAACATGTAGATTTTCACTTTACAATTAATTATTGTAATATTTTTATCAGCGGTTTTAACACACAAGTAATTCGCGTGACACTGGTCCATAAACTATGCATGTGCTGCATGTTTGTAAGAAACAAATCCATAATTTTAACTTTTTGCTTCTGGCCAATGTAGTCCATAAGTCATAACTCTTCCACCAGTGTAAAAGTCCACCCCCTGTTGTCCGGTCACATCAAAATCCACCAATATATTTGTTTAAAATTGTTCAGAACAGTTTTCACTTGTAAATAGTGCTTGATCTGTGCATATTTGTCTACTAATTCAGATGAGATGACTTTTTCACTGGAGAAAGCAATATTTTAACTGGAAATAACTGTTTGAAGTTAAAAACATCTTAAAGATGAATTTGTTTATTACAAACATGTAGATTTTCACTTTACAATTAATTATTGTAATATTTTTATCAGCGGTTTGAACTCTCATTTTGATCTTTCATTCCTCCAAATCTGCTGGAAAAAAACCTAAGCTGGTTGGCTGGTCTTAGCTGGTTTAAAGCTGGTAGCAGCTTGTTTTAGCTGGTCTCCCAGCCTGGCGGAGCTAGTTTTAGCTGGTTGCTGAAGAAGTGGTCAGAACCCCTCTAAAACTAGCCTGCAAACCAGCTATGACCAGGCTGGAAGACCAGCTAAAACCAGCCAGACAGCTTAGGCTTTTTTTTTTTGATAAACAAAATCATCTACATCTTGGATGGCCAGAGGTAAATTTTCGGCAAATGTAATTTTTTTGTGTAAACTATTACTTTGACTGTTAGTGAGTGACGAATCAGGTGGAGGATGGCATTACCAGATAAATATTTCTCGGACAATTGCGATGCATCGTCACTTGTCTCAGATTGTCTTTGAACATTTACACATACCATAGCGATCATAACTCGTGTAAAAAAGCACTGAATTTTTTATTTTTTTAACTCCATTAACTGTTGATGAGTGGAAAATCAGGGTTAGTGGTTTGCGGGCAGCATTAAATATTTTGACTAATTTGCAAATCAACCTTCAGTATAAAGTGTGTTCTGACGAAATAACATCAGTGACGATAAACAGTTGTGTAATGTGAAAAGAATGAATCAAAAGAATGAAATGAATCAGTGTTTTTGAAGGAACAGGTTGAGTGAATGATTTAAATGACTCATTAATAAAGGCTGTCACTTGTTACCACCTACTGGTGTAATGATGTAACCCTACAGAAAGAGTCACTGGAAAAATCACCACTAATGCACAGACAGACAGTCTATGCACAAACACAGACAAGCGGAGTGACAGATACAGTGAAAAGTCTAGCAGTCGGACTGCTGCTCGGCCAATCAAACTCAAGGACTGGAAGTTGGGAACTAAATGTTGTAAATGACAATCTGACAAAAATTACAACTATACTGGGTTTTATTGAAGTAAGACAGGTAAAAACAATTAAGGATTTAACCCAATAGCAAAATATAATGAATACATCCTTTATAAATATGTTTATTTTCTGCATTAACACAAACCAGGTTGCCTAATCAGCAAAGTCATGTGCTAATTAAACAGCAATTTTAGCACACAACCAAACAGCTCTGCAATGAGTATTGCTACACACAGCAACTAGAACTCTTGTTTTGATGAACAAATGTATCTCATAAAGTATGCATCAGTACATAATGCTGTACAACACAGATCAGTACACTCACATATCTGGGTGGGATGAAACCCCCATTTTTCAGGCTTCCATAACTGTCTGGACCATGAGTCTCGCCGCTGTAGTCCAGATCCAGCAGAACCTCCCGGTCCATCAGCACCTCAGGGTTCCTCTTCTTCAGCATGATAATCAGAGACAGCCAGAATCAAATGTTGGGGTGGAGCTAGAAGAGACTAGGTCTTTTAACTCACATTCAGAGCCTCAGTACAACTGATCTATGTACACAGTCCCACGTTCCAGTCCAGGCACTCCTGCAGAACATCAGCACCCAATAAATTATGCACATAAATTTAATTTGAGATAAAAGTATATGTGCATTTCCCGCCCCCAAAGAAGAGCTGCAGGAGAGGAGACAGAGGAAATGCACTAAGTGCCTCTATAAGCAGATGAGACAAAACAAGGGCAGCAGTGGGTCTGCAGCATCTCTGCACTCTCTCTCTCTTTCTCTCATTCACTGCATCCCTCTGTCTCCACAGCACTCTAGAGGGACACTTACCGTAAATCCTCTGGCATACGAGCCTATCCTTTCATCTTCAGCAAGGAAAAACACATGTAAATACACTTTACAACAAGAATGCATATATCCTGTTTCCTGTTAAAGACAGATGCAAAACGCAGTGTCATATACAGGCAGACATTCACTTAAATCACTATTCATCTGAGACTGAGGTGATGATCAAATTTTTAATGCATTAGGATTCCACATAAATCCGGTCTCAAATGCACTATAGACTAAATGCACTAAATTGTGTGTTTTAGAAGGAGCATAAATCTTACTGCCTAAAGATGTACACAATCTATTGGAAGGACGGACCATCACAGTTCAAAACCCTTTGGTGCAAAGAGGTAAAACGTTGGATTGCATGGATATTGAAACATTGCCACCTGAAAGTTAGGAATTGGCCTGAACAAATTGGCCGAGTCAGAGAGAAATACTGCTTTACATTGCTTTAGTTGCATTGCCATTATTTGCATCGTGTATATTTATGTCTTGCACTAATCATTAGCACTTAACAGCAATTAAACTCTGCCATTAGCAATTTGAATGGTATTTGCAGACTTCTGGGTCAGTCTTAAGTGCTGCATGCTTGGCTGAGAGCCACAAATAGCTCATATTTCTCACTATTCAAGTGCAAGAGCTTTGTGAGACATAAAAACATTTAGAATACAAATGATTGGGACGTTCTCAAAAAAATAATCTCTGTATGTATCATGTGATGCTTTTTGCTTGATATGTCCCCCCCATTTCTGTGGTGCGTTAATATTTTGATGTTACTGCGGCAGTGCAGACAGGGGGGGGAGAGAAATAAAGAGAAGGGGTTGGGCAGTTTGAGCACCTTCTGTCCATTGAGTACAGAGGCAAGGATGACTGGAAAAGCAGAAATGACACCTGACTGCAGAAATTCACCACTTATATATATATATATATATATATATGAGGAAAGCAAGAACATAATTGGAAATGTGGGTCCAAATTATACAGAATGAGTTTTATATCAAAACAATTTTTTTGATGTTTTCCCATTATCACTGGATCTGCACGTCTCTCTAAATGTTTCTGCACATGCATGGAAATTAGCACTAGACATTTTAGAAAGAGGTTGAGGAAAAAAATCACTGTGAAACAAGCTAGAATTTGGATACCTTCATATTGTGAACTAACCTATTTTGGTTGTTTAGTCTATAGGACTTGATAAAATGTTTCTGCATGTGGAAAACAAAAACTACAAGAAGCAACAAGATGACTTTAGTTCTATAGCACTGATTTGTTCAATTTTAGTCTGAATTAAATACTTACAACTACTAATGTGCAATAATGTCACAGAAAATAGTTTGTCACGTTCAATACCATTAGATGGCACCATTAAGTCTTTGTGTTGTTTCTAGTTCACCTATGAAGTAGATATTTGTTAAAGGGATATTTCACCATTTTCATATTTCATCATTTCCTCACCCTCAAGTTGTTCCAAACCTGTATGAGTTTCTTTCTTCTGTTTAACACAAAATAATTTCTTTTGAAGAATGTTGGTAACCAAACAGTAGCTGATAGCTATTGACTTCCATAGTAAGGAAAAAATACTATGGAAGTCAATGGCTACCAGACAACATTCTTCAGAATATATTCTTTTGTGTTCAGCAGAAGGAAAAAAAACAATATACAGGTTTGTAACAACATTAGGGTGAGTAAATGATGAAAATGTTCATTTTGCAGTGAACTATCCCTTTAACACCTGTTTTAAATAGTCAATTTAAATGCCAATGTTGGGATTGTTTGTATTATTTTAGTATTTATCCTTATTTCTCTGAACTTCTTGTTCTACTATACAATATTCTGTTTTAAAAAGATTCACAGTTAATGACCACAAGTTTTTACCCCTTTTAATGTCAATGTCATTACAAATGCAAATATTAGGAAATTATTCAAACTTTTTCACCATTTAAAAAAAAAAGTTATTTTTATTTATATTTGTTATCATGTTATGACATATTCCAAAATGTACATGCAGCATTTAGTGTATCTGAGACATTAGAGTGTTAGAACAACATAATTGACTACTGTAGGTCACTCCATTTAAAACAAAAATGTAAATAAAAACACAACAAAAACACATAAAACCACATTTCAATTGTTAATGAACAACTGTATTCCATCATTGTCCAGCAATGTATTATTTAAAATCACTGTGGACTGAAACAAACTTCAACATACCTGAGATTCTGCTTCCATTTATAACAGTCTGTCACAGATCCACATTATTCAAGTCTGCTTTCTTTAAAACCACTCTACATTCTTAAAACAACTTTACAGTGTTTCACTGGAAATGGTATATTATACCACTGAGTGAGGAACATTTCAATGGATTCGATATAAAGGCTAAAACATAGTTGATCAGTGTTTAAAAAAAAAAAAAAAAAACTGATAACACCTTTTGAAGAGTTTGACCTTAAACGAATGCCTGATTGACTGCATTCAAATCGCAAAAAGAAATCGAAAAAGTTGTGAATGCTTATGCATGATCGGAAATCATTTTAATGCCAGTAAAAAAAAAAATAAAAACCCACAACTTATCTTTTAACAAAAGTAAAAAAAATAAAAACAAAACCAATGAATGTGCAATTCTGAACCTTGTGCAATTCTGCTGTAATCAACTCCTTCACTTCTAAACTGTCATTTTAGTTGCAAGAGCCTTAATATCTTCAACTAATGATATTTTAGAATTGTATGACCCTATTACAGTATCTCAATGCCATCTGATCCAAACAAATGACCTCAGTCCAATATAACAACAGCGATTACATGCTGGTACCGTACCATCACTGTTAGCAGTGCTGACTGATATTAGATGTCTAAATTAAGCCTGGTCCAATTCCCCTTTTCTCTCTCTGTGTGTTTTGAATGTCTGTGCCAAGCTGCCATGCAAACCATTACTTTCAAATAGTTAACTTAAAGCAGCCAGCTAATACCAATGGTGTAAACATAACTAAAATTATCTTTCGCAAGTGCTCACAAAGCAGTCTGTACCTCTTTATATAGTATAAGCATGTACAGTATCTGTCCATAAACTTTGTACAAGGAGGGAAGGTTTAAAAAAAACAAAAAAAAAACCTTTTGAGTTATTACTATGTATTTACACTCTATATAGTCTGATCACATGTAATGCAAGAGAACTCCTAGATCTCTGTCTTTTTGATTTCCTGCTGCAGACCTCCACTTGTAAAAGCTAAAGCCTTAATTGTAACTCCTTAAATATCTGTGCAAGGCAAGTGTAAACAAAGTCAGGCCTCATTACCGGTAGATAAATATCATATGAGCCCATGTTGTTCAATATCGTCTCTGGTCTGGAGAGCTCACAGAGTCTGCTTGTACCTATGTAAACGGTAGGTTCGCTGGTGAGCTGACTCCCCCATGCTGTCTTGTTTAATCCTGGGCCGTCAGCACCACGGTTCTCTCTCTGATCGACCTCTGTGTAGGCTGTCACTCCTCTGCCATGCACTCTTCATCAGCTCCAGCGCTTCCCTACATCTCTTCTGCATCGGCGGGTCTGACACTGGCTTACGAGACAGGCTTACCTGGACACACATATGAAGAAATTCATGCTGTAGATCAATTCAATAAATAAATAATATTAATAAGAACGTCGGTAAGAAGTTTCTTATGCTCACCAAGGTTGCAATTATTTGATCAAGAATACAGTAAAAACAGTATTGTTGCTAAATTACATTTTTAAATACCTTTTAATTCCTGTGATAGAAAAGCTGAATTTTTAGCAGTAATTTATGTGCCACATGATCTTTGAGAAATCATTCTAATATGCTGATTTAATGCTCAAGAAATTTTTCTTATCAATGTTCATAATTGTGCTACTTAAAATTTTTAAGATAATTTTTAGCAAAAATATAACATTTTATTTGAAATAAAAATATTTTGTAACAAAATATTTTACTGTGACTTGATCAATTTAATACATCTTTGCTGAAAAAAAAGTATTACTTTTTTTTTTAAACAACACACTAAACTGACAGTTTTATTAGAAATCCGTTATGTGAATACAGTCCAACAAAAGCGTCTGACTCCTTCGAAAGCATCAAATAAACATTCAAATTAGAGTGGAACTTAAGTACAGAAAATATAAGAATGATGAGCCTCCTATGCTAAATATTAAACTACAGATGTGATAAAAAAATTTAAAAAAACGATTTTCTGGCTATGAAAAAAAAGTGTTTTCTTGCCTGGTAAACAGCAGCCCAAGCTTGACTCAGTTCTGCTAGTAGCCGATCCCGCTCTTCACATCCGCTAAAATACAAAACCCAGGGTGGAAGAAACTGAGCACGATCTTCCGCAAATTCCTGCAGACATAAATGGTGGTTAGTGCACTTGTTTAAAAAAAAAAACTATAAACAGTAAACATCTGTTTCCAGAGACATCTGATGCACAACAATCTGAATGAACTCTTACAATGACACAGTATTCTTTATCATCTTCCAGGCAAACAGCTGTGACATCGTTTAGATCAGCTCCTCCTAGAGAACGGAAAAAACTGGTCTGGCAATCCTGGTGACATGTGAGCAACTTCCTGTCTGTGAGTACAAGGCAACACGGAATACAGGGTGCAGGAGCTACTCCCTGTGGAATAATCTGAGAAACAAAAATACACAATAGTGGTCAACATCTGGGAAACATTCTGGTTAATTCTGGACAGGCTGTACTGAGAAAACATCTACGGCATCCACTGCAGGCTGGAATACAATAGACAAATATTGCTCAGATTTTTTGCCCCACTTTACAGTCTAGAAGAGTCAATGCTAGTTTCTAAAAGTCAGAGCTAGTATTTCAGCCATAAAATGCAAATGCTGGCATGTCTGGAACTGATGAGGAACAACAACACATTGTCATGTGGTGACTCTGAAAGCATTTAAAATGCAGACTCCCACATTTTGCTCAAACACCACCAGCTCAGAAAAAAGAAAGTAGATTTGAATGGAAAGTATGAAACTGTGCATTTAATCACACTTCCCAAAAATCGCAGAGATCTTGTCTAAAAATGCTTTGTAAGAACTTGCAAAAAAAATGCTACTGTGTGTAAAATTGCAGCTCACCCCTTTAGAAACCGACTGGCAGAGCAGCTGCATCCAGTCGGCCATTTCCAGTTCGTTTTCTGCACTGAGCTCTAATGGAGGATGCTCTGTCAGAATCACTTGAAAAGCATGAGGCTTCTCTGAGCTGTTTGAACGCCTACAGCCTCCACAGTGCCCTCCCCTATAACATAAACGCAACACATTCAAATATATAATAAATGTTTATAAGTGGGCATCTTTCATATTGAAAAGCACATTTATATTAAGTTTATAAAGGTGAAATCTAAGAACTGGAACAACAGCTTACCCCATGGTAACAGACATCAAAGGTGTAACATCTGTTCTCTCTGCATACTGATACAGGATGCCGTTGCTGCCAGGTGAACAGGTGATTTAGATTCAGGACACATGAACAGCTTGCTGAAACTGTCGAATAGCTTAAAGCACTAAACCCTTTTGTACCTGAGAACCAAGTAACAGCTTTTCCACACTTCCTTCCCCAAATAAGTGCTCCCAGCACGGTACAACAGTGCTCCCTCTTTAGTGCTACTAGATTCTCTGGAGCTGGACGGAGATGTTGGTGAAGCCACCGCTACATCCATTGGGTCCTCCCAGTGAACCAGAGAATACAGGCGGATGCTCATCTCGGATAACTACACAAACACAGTTAGCACAAGGTCAGCAAGACAGATTTGCTTTATACAACATTAGGAGAATCAGGCCCTTTCTTTCAGAACATGCTACACAGCTCCTTGTTCAAGCTCTTGTTCGGTTTAGACTGGACTATTGCAATGCTCTCTTAGCAGGTCTTCCAGCCAGTTCTAAACGTCTACAACTAATCCAGAATGGGGCTGCAAGATTAATCTTTAACGAGCCGAAAAGAATGCACGTCACACCTCTGTTCATCAGTTTGCATTGGCTACCAATAGCTGCTCGCATAAAATTCAAGGCATTGATGTTTGCCTTCAAAACCACCACTGGCTCTGCACCCTTTACTGCATTCTGCAAGTGAACGGCACATTATAATTCCATTCCCAAGAGGCACAAAATCACTTTCACTGACTTTCATCTCAACTGTTCTCTGCTGGTGGAAGGACCAGCCCAACTCAATCAGAGCAGCTGAGTCTTAACCATCTTCAAGAAACAGCTAAAAACACATATCTTCCATCTACACTTGACCCTCTAACACTAGCACTCTCTATTCTATTTATATTCTACTTGTTTTCTTTTTATAAAAGAAAAAAAATTGACCCTCTAATATTAGCATTCTCTATTTTTCTAATCCATATACTTGCTTTCTTTTTTATTTATTATAAAATAATTAACCTCTAAAACTCACATTCTCTATTCTTTTGACTTGTTTTCTTTTTATTTAAAAAACTGACGCTCTATCACTAGCATTCTTTAATCTTTTCTTTAATCAAAAAATTGACCCTCTAGCGTTCTCTATTCTATCTACTTGTTTTCTTTTTATTTATAAAAAAAAACAACCTTGCTACGTGTACTGTGTTAGACTAACCGAGTGTCATAGCACTTGCATATTGCTCTTTTGTTGGTTTTGATTTGTAAGTCATTTTGGATAAGTGTCTGCAAAATGACTAAATGTAATGTATATGTAAGTTTTAGCATGTGTATTTAATTGACTATTTGATGCACCAAGTACTTTTGAAATGTAAAATGTTTAAATGTTAAAATCTTTAGATAATTCATGCATCAAAGGGTTAATATATTGTATAAGAATAATTCCATAAGCACTGTGCATACTTTAAAATCACATCAGTCCAAAAAATGTGCTATAATTATATTATATAATTATAGCAATAGTTACTGAGAGGGAAAAATAAATATTTGCTATTTTTTTATTATAATTATACTTTTATATTATAATTATTTTCATGTTTTAATAATATAAATTGTATTAATAATAATTTATTAATTTTAATTCTTTTAAGTCATTCTGCATCCCCCTTGGAAGATCCACTGGTCTAAACTGTATGATCATTATAAATGGTTTAATTGCAAATGCATTTCAGAAAGAGTCAGCATGAAGAACCAAGATTATCAAAGTGAGCCACTGTCTGCCAGACTCTCATGAATTATTTATGGTGATAGATCTCCCCCATTTACCTCACAGTGAGTCTCTTGGCATACAAACTTAGAAAGAGCCAATTTCTCCATGGTGGCGTCAGTGAGAACAGAGGGGTAGGGAGGCTCCCTACAGCCATTTTCCAAGGCCGCCTTCAGCACAGTCAGAAACCATCTGAGGAGAGTACATGAACAGATCCTCTTCAAAGACATGCATACTAATCAACCTCATGGGGATACGCTTTAATTTAAAAAACTTACACAGTCAGAGATGAGTCAGCTGTGTCCAAAAGGAACTGCCTTCTTCTGTTAGTGCACACCAGAGTGATAGTCTGCTGGAGAAGTCCAACCTAAGGCACAAACAAGGGCTTTAATCACTGTGCAGCATGTCAAACTGATAATTTAGGCTTCAGGTTGTTTACGCACAGAGATGTAGTCCAGCTCGTTATAAGATACCACCTCCTCAACACTATAAGGCTTCTCCGCTGCCCCTGAAAATCAATGGGACACAACAACAAATGCAAATAAGCACTTTTGCAGACGTATAAACAATGTCCTGCCCTTCCACTGAAGGTTTGCTGACCTTTTCGCAAGAGGTAAATGTAGCAGTCCGTCACCAGCAGATACAGAGGCTGCAAATCTCCTTCCATGTGGCCTGTGCTCATTCTCACCATCTGAAATAAAATGTACAAATGCAAAACAATCAATAGGATAGCACCAGTTTACAGGTTTACATTTCACTAGAATATCTGTGTTACTCACATTGCACATTGATAAAAACAGCAATAACATCATGTTTACCTACAGGTAATTACAACTGCTTTTAAATATATGCACAGCATTGTACATGACATGTACACTACAACTGAAACTTTTAGGGTCAGTAAGAATTTTTTTTTTTTTTTTTTTTTTTTTTTTAATAAAAGAAATGATTTTTTTTTCAGATAGGATGCATTAAGACCATGAAAAGTGATAGTAAAGACATTAATAACATTACAAAATATTTATATTTAAAAATGCTGTTCTTTTGAACTTTCTATTAATTAAAGAATTCTGTAAAAAAATATATATATATCACAGTTTCCATAAAAATATTCAGCAACACAACTGTTTTTAACATTAATAATAAGAAGAGATGCTTCTTGAGCACCAAATCAGCATATTACGGTAGAATGATTTCTAGAGAATATTTGTGACAATGAAGACCGGAGTAATGGCTGCTGAAAATTCAGCTTTGCATCATGGGAATAAATTACATTTTAAAATATATTAAAATAGACAATTATTTTAAATTGTAATAATACGTATTTCACAATATTACTGTTTTTACTGTATTTTTTATCAAATGCATCCTTGGTGAGCATAAGACACTTTCAAAAAGATATTTAAAAAATCTTCCCCAAACTTTTGAAAAACAGTATGTGACCGCTTTTGATTTTTCATCGGACTTCTATTAAAATTACAGTAGCTCAAAAAAAAAAAAAAAAAAAAA